TTTGACACATTTGAATAAATGCCGCTGAGGGGGAGCAGGCTTGTGTTCAGTGGCTTCAATTTCTCACAGGGCAATGACATGTTAACCAGAGTGATTTGAATCTATTCTATGAGGCGATTACACAATGAAATATATTTAATGCATATGAAACAGAATAAGGGCCAATGGACACCTCACATTGTCAAGGGCTTGGTTGTCAAAGTAAGATAGAAAACGATGTCCAAGAATTTGTAAATAAAAGATTAGCATCAGGCTTGTGCCCTTCTATGCCCCCTCCCCACCCCCCCCACCCATTTCTTCAAGATCTCTGTGTTGGGAATAATATAAGGCTTGAGGGAGTGGGCTGCGAGATAAAAGGCCACATCACAATGATGATCTCTATCGATCTGCAACCTTGGGCACACAGAGGAGGTCCGGCATTTGTCACGTCGAAGCTGAACCCAATAGCTGATCCACGCCACACTCTGATGAATTGGCCCTGTTCACCAAGTTTGTTTAATTGATGACATGTTCCCTTTCAGGTGAACCACCACTGTTCCATGCGTTCATTGATTTTCTTAAACAACCTCACCTTTTCACCCAATCTTCTTTTACCCACTTTCTAAAAGCAACCAAACCCACAAGATAATGCTTCCACCACAGTGGACGTGAACAGCAGGGCCGTCCTTTACCCTGTGTCGGAGCGAACCATCACCCTGAAAAAGAAAACAAAACTTTTTGGCTTAACTCTGCCACTATCTTATTGTGGTTCTATGGTGGAGCAGTTCTCATGCCCACTTAACACATCTGTTTTACACACAGAAGGACCTGGGTTTGAGCCACTGAGTAACCACATACCTATTGGCGCCTCGTGTGGCAGCCTGTGTGTGATACTAAGGCTCACACTGTGAATTTCCCCATTGTGTGAGTATTATGAAAATAACAGACAAAAGGTATAAAATAACTGAGGAATCTGAAACAAGTAAGAAACTTTTTTAGTGTATATAGATTTCTTTGACTTGACTGTAATTTTAAAACTCAATGACAAAAAAGTGTGGGCATACGTTTGTGTAATTTTAAAACTCAATGACAAAAAATTGTGGGCAAATTTCATGTTTGCCAATCTATTGCTGTCTCCTTTTAAATTGATTAAGTCATAATGACATTTTGCAAAAATATGAATGTCCAAGTGGATAATACAGATCATTAGCTGCAAACCATGTTGAAAGTCCCAGTCAGGGATAGTTCACCTCATCATCATCAGCTGGTTTCTGCAGATGATCTGAAGCAGGCTCAGTCTCTTTGCGAACTGTAGCGAGTGGCATTAAATGTAGACAGGTTAGGTGCGAGCTGGAAACCACAGGCTTCTCTTTTGGTCAGTGATACTGCTGCTGATCCTTGGCTCTGCTAAACTGTTAATGTTTCAGGAGGATCACTGGGGTAAGTGCACCACGCGTCAGCAACTCCCAACAATCCATACAGGAAGGAATTTGAATTTGTAAACCACACAACCGTATTCCAGGGCATCTGGAGTGCGTAACATTGTCATCTTGAAAACTAACAGGAGCAGCCAAGCAACCAGTCGAGCACTAGATAGGCAGCATTTGGCCATCAAAGAGAAATTCCAGCCTAATGGGGTTTCAATGTTTCCAGTGTATACCAGTGCCATCAACAGAGAAGGCAGATTACCTGAGTACACACACACACACACACACACACACCTTTCACACTCTCTTAACTCCGGAGTGGAGAGAGAGTGGTAAACAAAAGTAAGTGCGGGGAGTAAATTTGACAGTGGAATGACACCACGCTGAATCTGTGACATCATTATGGGGCTTTGAATTTCAACTCATATAAAGGTTAGCTGCACCTCAGCAAGCAATAGATTGCCTCTACAGCTGAGACATGGAAATAAAAAACGAGAAACGCAGCACCAACAAAGGCCGAGAAATTGTGCAAAAAGGCACACTTTTGGATTTAAAGCACCTATCTCAGATCCCAGAGCCTTGAGAATGGGATTGGATTACTGTCGGTTAGATTTACTCCTGTGCCTCTTCACCACTACATCATCATAGGGCCCCCTGCCTCTGGATCAATGGGGATATTTACTGCGCCTGTTTCAGGGAGCCTTTCACAGTAGGCAGGGCATTAAACAAACAGCCGACAGCCCTGTCCCAATGATGGCCTGTCTGTTCACACTGTGCCATGCCCAAATGTCACACATATTCACTTCAAACAGGTAGCGCACAAGCACTAGCAAAGTGCAGATAAAATAGAAAGGGGGGGTTTGGGGAGGTGGCAAGCAATTTGCTCTGTACACAGCACAAAAAGGAAAACTGCCAGAATCAAGAGGAGGAAAAATATCCAGGAGAAAAGGAGTCGTATGTTGTGTTTTCTTTTAGATAATTAGCACTTTAACCCACTCTAAAATTATATGAGTTAAAATGCTCGTAAGGGGCCACACCTCAAATAATTCCCTGTGCAGGTTTCTCATAAACTCAACACTTTGGGCATTGCTTGGTATTGCATTAGTGAATGGGAAAAAAAATAACAAAACTCCTTGTTACACAGTGAATTTCTGCGATTTAAATAACCGTGTTTATAGGGAAAAGGTTTATAACCTCCTTCAAATGCATATTAAACCGAATAGGGATTGTATTTAATATAAAACTGCAGCTACTCGGCTGTTGAATCACATTATAAATTTGACAATCATTGCCATTTAGAGCCACAGACAACAGTCTTTACACACACGCATGTACTGGCGGTCTGCAAAATGTGAGCACGGGTCCAAGAATGAGTGGAATGTTTTGGGACAAATATGAGCAAAATAAGTGGCCTCATGGAGGAAAACAGTCAGTATGAAATTTCTTCATTACTTGACAATTCCACTGACTAAGCCTTCACAATCAGCTGACAGTGCAGTGTCAAACAATGGCCTCTCAAACAGCAGCACACAGTACACTGAATCAGCCCGAAGAACTCCCGAGGGAAGACTTAACTGAGATTCATCTCCACGGAATGTAATATGTGAGGAAGTCCAGGGAAAAATAACACAAAAATAAACACTTATGGCTTGTTAATGAAAGCTGATGTAAGCTGGACTTTGATAGAGCCATCATCACTTTCAGCTGCAGTCGACAACCGACCAGGATGACAGAGGATGTGTTTTGGTGCGCTGCAGATGTAACGTCTCTTTTAAAATACTTGTCCTGTTGCCGCTGCTTCGATTGGTTCACTGGCGCAAATTCATTATGGGCTGTAGTACTGTTGGTCGTTTCAGACTCATAGTAAACCCTTTTTTTCTTTATACAATGTGGAATTTAATATAACATCAGTAATAAAGTGGTGTTTCTTGAAGGTGAACATCTACTTTTATGTTGTACCTGATGCAGCACATGCTCACAGCAGGGCTGCTTTTTATGTCTAAGAGTTTTCTCAGCTCTCTTTAGTTCTTTTTTTATATAATGGATAAGTGAGAACAGGGGGATTAGTGTATGTAGCTGTGTATGTATGTGCACTGTTGTGTGGTGTGTATTTGAAGACATGTGTGGACCATGTGTGAAGTGCAATGTATTAGTAAGACAGGATGCTGAGAGAATGCAGCTATCACTTTTTAAACACACGCACACACACGCACACACACACACACACTTAGAATACGACAGTACAGCGACCATTTTGACAGGTCATCTCTTTTGCCACACGCCATAGACTTAACACGACGTCTTAACATTTTTACATCATTTTTACATTAAAGCCCTTGCTGTAGCATTTAGCAGCTATAGCTAAGTATAAGTAAATGGTTTTATGCCAATTATTACATTTAATTGTTTACCAGGTATAACTTGAGCTTCCCAGTGTATAAACACACTTTCTTTTGTTTCTGAAAAAAGGCTAAATCATAGTCAAACTTAAGGTTTAAGCAAAAATTACTACTCAAGCCCATTCAATAACAATACTATATATATATATAATATTAAATATGTATATAATAAAAATCTGGAAGTATTTGTGTTTTACATGTATTTTAGCATATTTCATGTTGTCTTTAAATACAATTGATGGTTACATTGTTTAATTGAATCGTGATGGTATAATGTCTCAATATATAAAAATAAGAAATAAAAAAGAGTATAAGAAACCAGAAAACAGTTCACACACCTGTTATTTCTTTTATTTAAGAAGGTTTTTTGATTGGGTGATGACTGCACTCACTGATGAGCTGCACCGATGCAATAACAGAGAACTGACTGTAGGAGTGGTTCGCTGGAAACAATGGAAAACAGCACGTGATAGATAGCTCAGTCAAAAGGATAACGGTAAATCACAGACAAAAACGTCTCATTTTTAAAAAGTGCATTCACAAACATGACAAATACTCTCAACTCATGATGTCTATTTTTCATGTGATACAAAATATGCATACCTGTTTTTAGATTTGTCTGTATTTCTATACATAGATATTTCTTCAAAAGGACCACTTTATTATTTTTGTTCTTTTCTTTTTACAAAGATTAAAAGCAGGGTTGTGTTCATAGCAGCTTCAGATATCTCTAACCTCTTCACCGTGTTAGGAGAGAATACACAGCCTTGACAGGTACCCAAATAAAACCTAAATTTTTTTTTTTCTCTGTTGTTCAGCTCGGACAGCGTTTCATCGCTTTATTGAAAGAGATATTCACCAGTGAAGCCTGCAGTTTAGAAAAGAAATGGATCAATAAAATGCTTGGGTCATTAAATATATTCTTGTATACCCGCTTTTTTTGTCAATATCATAAATACTAAAGACACAGGACAATATTATAAGACAATGCTGGGAGACTAAATGTAAAGATTGAAATAGTTCAAACATCATTTTTTTCAAGTTTTCTAGTTCAATAAAAACAAAAAAATAAAATAAAATTGAGCGAGCACAGAAACGCTATTTTTCAGTCCTCAGTATATCCGTGGGCATTCATGTACAAGTTTCCCAGGCAAAGGCAAGACTGTCTTTACACAAACTCATTTTTTGTTCTGTTTTAGTCCTGTCCATGTAAGATGCTTGTCTGCCGTCAACTAGGCAGAATCCTGGTCATAAAATCAGTCAAACATACTAAGGAAAACCAATAGGTACCATGCAAATCTTGCAAGACGACATATTCTCAAACAAGAGACAACGTATTCTTCATATAGTGAAATATCAAATGAGGACGGTGTCAGTGAAAGGCAAAGACCTCTAATCAGTACTAAATACTATATTTCCAAAAACCAGAGAAAATAATTAATCTATACATAATATAACACACGAGGTCAGACTGGATCTGCAGTTTCTGTCTTTGTCATCCGGCTTCTAGTCTATGCCTTCAATAGTTTTTAATTGATCCCAATTTCTTTGTTCTCCTCTATAAATCTGGAGAAAGGGCGGTTGGGCCCAACCTCCAGAGCAGCCTTCTCCATACCCGTCATGGGAGGGCTGCTACCCGCGTGAACACGGTCCATTCCTCCCGGCATGGCTCCCAACGAAGTGATTCCTGCACCGCCAAGGCTGACGGGCAGCTGCGTGATGCCTCCGTTTTGAATCACAGAGATCTCATTGTTTTTCATGGCCAGCCCATTGGTGATGGCAGCGGCGTACTGGTTCCAAAAGCCAGGGTCAACATTCATGGCCCGGGCCGCCAGATCCTTTTGGAACATCTCACTGAACTTCATGGCATCCCCACCCAGCAGGGCCATGGGATTCTCCACAGACAGGCGACGACCCCTTCGGGCCGGAGCGTTGTTCCACATATGTGTTCCCATGTGCACCTAAAATTAGCAAGTATACAAAAGAAAACATTAGCAGAATGTCTTTTGAAGTCATAAATAGTACATAGTACAACCGTTGTGAAGGAATATTTTCATGCAACGTGGAAGGGAAAACCTCTCAAACAGTAATCCAAATATTTTTGGATTCTTAAATTGTAATAACATTCATACAGGCTTTAGTTGCCACCAAATCTGTTTTATTGACATTTAACAAATATGTTAAAATATGTTATTATTATTTTTACTCTTGGGATGTATTTACTTAAAATTGCCACTGGTGTTGTATTTAACTGCCTCATACCTTCAGGTTTCCCTTTGTGGTGAAGGCCCTTCCACAAATGGAGCAGGCAAAAGGTTTTTCCCCAGTGTGTGTGCGCTCGTGTATCAAAAGAGCGCTGGCTGAGGAGAAGTTCTTCCCACACGAGTGGCAGTTGTGCTGCTTAGGGGTGCGTCGTGGAGGTGGTGGAGCCAGCATGGGGTTAATGCTGGGGCTCATGGTGGTCTGTGGGGTGGCAGCTGGAACCTGGATGCTTACAGGAAGGTGAGAGTTGTCACTTAGAGACATTGCTTTGCTGTGTCCATTCATTTCCATTTTGATCATGTTTGAAGCAGTGCTGGCCAAATTTGGAGTGCCAAGCCCTAAAGACAAACAAACAAATTTAAAAATGCAGGTAAATATGGTGAACATGTTTCAAAATGGCAAAAAAATGTGATTGATCAGACTTTAAAAATCAACATAATTTTTGTATTTTGAATTTAAATACACAATGTAGGTAATGTCTATGGAATCGACCAAATTAGTCTACTTTCATTCTTCAATTAATGTTAACGGCTTTTCATCATTTTTTTCCACACACCTCGATCTCTATTCAGCAGCAGCATGTTGAAGTGGCCCTCCTCCTTGATGAAGTGCCTGCCATGTTGAGTGGCAGTCAGATCAAGGGCCCCTGTGCCTTCAGGAGCAGAGAGAGGAGATGGGGTCTCTGATTTTTCTGACTTCACTATTGCCAAGCCGGTTGTATTGTTCTCCAGGCCCTCCTCTGCTGTCATGGCACTGGTGCTGTTGTTGTTGAGTGTAGCTGGGGATTTGGACTGCTGGCTCTCGGAGTGGCTGTGAGCTGGGGACAAATGCTGCATAGAGCCAGAGGACTCAGACAAAGCGGGGCTTCCCAAGCTTTGACCTTCAGCGTCTCCCACTGCAGACAGCGAATCGGTCGTAAAGCATTCATTTTCTATGCCGAAGCTGCTGCCATTTTGCGTGGGCTTTTGCCCAAACGAACGGGTCATATTGACAGTGGAGTCGATCATCTTCATCTGGTTCTCCATTGCAGCTATGCTAGAGATGATCGAAGTTGGTGGGGAGCTGCCAGGTGAATAGGGTTTCAATGGGTCGACTTCTCCCTCTTTTAGGTCAGGTTCGTCATCAATAGCTTGCTCCATTTCATCAAGCAGATCATCGTCATAATTACTCATCGCATCAAGGCTCTTTTCATCAAAGGACAGATCAGTTTCCATCTCCTGAAGGGTATCTGGGACTGGGGTGTTTGGGATTTGCCCTCCCATGTGCATACGGATGTGCTGCTGCAACACAACAGCATTGGTGAACTTTTTCTGACAAATAGGGCAGGAGTGTTGAACCCGAAGTGGGGGTTTGGACCTATGGACACCGAAGTGGGTTTTTAAATTTCCCTTTGTTGTGAATGCCCGCCCACAAATCTTGCATTTGAATGGTCTTTCACCAGTATGTGTACGATAGTGCATCTTTAAAGCACTCTGGCAACTCAAAACACGATGACAGATGACGCACTGGTTAGGGTCAGTCATTTTCTTGTCAATATTTTCAACAAGCTGCTGCAACTTTGATGTTTCTGAGGTTTGCATAGAGTCCAAGAGGCCACCAAAAGGAAACTTGGCCTTGAACTGGTCTGAAAGCATGGGAAGGACAGGATGAGAGATGGAGTTAGAAATAGAGTTTGGACTAGCAATTCCTTCAGTTAGCCGACTGCTGCTGGAAGAAGTGGTGGAAGTGGAAGTTGTAGAAAAAACAACTTGGGTAACTGTAGATGTGGTAGTGGTACTTTCTCCTGGCCTGGTTGAGCAGCTTGGTGGTAGGAGAACACCTTCAGGTTTCAAGAGAGGAGGAGCATCAACTCCTATGCAGGGTTTTGGGGAAGGTGAAGTTGTGGTCCTGCTGGAGTCAGTGATGATGTTGGGAGATAACGATGCACACTCACTTGAAGGTGGAGATGGCCTTTGAGGAGATCTATTAAGTGGAGTAAGGTTTGGAGATTCCCCAAAACCCCCCATCATACTTGGCAGTGTGGGAGGCAGTTGGAGCCCAACTGAAGTGGGAGCAGTAGGGAGGACAGGTTTGCTGTCTAGCCACGTAGTCACAGGTTTTTCTGGGGGTAAAGACATGCCGTACGGGATGCCTGAGCTGGTCGGTACATTGTCCAGGTACTCGGGCACAGGATAGGGGTTCATTTGAATGTGTGGGTATTTTTCTTTGTGCCTCTGGAAGTGAACTTTCAGATTCCCCTTGGTTGAGAAACGGTTTCCACATATGTTACACTTGAACGGCCTCTCCCCAGTATGGGATCGCAGATGGATTTGTAGTGCACTGTCACTGCCAAACACTTTGGCGCAGAAACGACACTTATGCTTAAAGAAGGGGTCTTCAGAGCTAGGCTTTGTGTCAAACACAGACACATTTGGGGGCTTTCCTTTACGGTGCTTCATCAGAGCAGAGAGGGGGTCGAGTGCATTAGCTGTGGCTGCTATGCTGGCCAGAGGGTTGGGGAAGATAACACTGTTGGATGAACTGTGAGGTATCAATGGTAGATTAGAGGCAGAGCTCAGGAGGCTATTGTGGCTAAGTGAGGGAGGGGTGGTGGAGTTCCTGGGAAGAGTGGAGCTGCTGCTAATGCCACCACCTCCGGTTACACTGCTGCTAGTGGTAATGTTGTTGTTTGGGACCGACGAGGAGCATGAGGGAATTAGAGATGACAAACCAGTAACACTGGGATGGGAAAACACTGAGTTATTTGAGGATGTGTTAGAGACCGAAGAGCTCGACTGCTGGCTGCTACTTTGTGATGCTTGAGAGAGAGGGCCCTCTATTGTGGTGGTCAAAGGTGAGGAGCCTTGACCGTTAATAGTCGCTGGCAACCTAACAGGCAGCTGATGGACAGGAGGAGTGATGAAGTTGTGTAGCTGCAGTTGACTGGCGACAGGGGGGGCACAGGAGGATATAGGCCCTTGGTTTCCAGAAGCATTGCTGTGATGGTGATTAAGAGCCGGCTGTGGAGCAGACTGTCTGTTCATCAGAGCCACCTGACTGCGTATTTGCTCTATCAGTTGCAGCTGGTGTATCTGCTGCTGCTGCAGGGCCATCAGCTGGTCCAGGATCATTGGAATGGCCATGGTGGAGACACCACTACCTGCTGCTGCCCTTATGCTCTGTGAAAATTGGGCCACTGCAACTCGTGTGCCATGCAGCGTCTCCAGGGTTACATTGGTGCTAGGCATGGCATAGTTTCTAATAGCGGAGGGAATGACATCATTGAGCTGAGGTAGGGAACTGTCTGGCTCAGGGGATGTCAAGTCTCTCTCTTCAGTATCCATAGTTTTTTCGGGAGAAAGCTCGAGCTCCATCTGCTCATCCTCCTTTTCTAGGACACTGACCCCATTCAAGGTTGTGTCTGTGTCGGGGATGTCGTCCCCCTCAGCAGCAGGACTGTGGTTCCCCTCCCTGGGGTCCTCACTATCATCCTGCTCACTGGGGCAGCTTGGTACAGGGGAAGGCTCGGTAGGGTACTCTTGAGAGGAGTTAGGTGTGTCCTCATTGTCATTCACTATAAGAACCAAAGGATTTTTGGTGCAGCTCTTTAAATGTTCACAAAAGTCTGACCACTTGAAGAATTCAGCACAACACTTCTCACAAATATGGGTCTCTTCACTGCCGCTGCGGCTCTCGTTCCCGCTGTCGGCATCCTCCAACACATCACCTTGAGCTATAGGGAGGGTAGAGGTTCAGGAGAGTGGGGGGAGGCAGGGGGAAAGGAGGGAGAAAAAAAGGAGAATTAATGAATAAATAATCAATAAAGAATCCACACATATTTTGCAGCTCCTAGCAGCAAAGATTTAACCTTTGATTTTTTTCCTTCTCTTTTAACATAACCAAAATCAATATTCTTTTTATTTTTTTACTCTGAACAAATTACCCTAGTTCACCAATTCTCAAGACCAAGGTTTGTGCATTTGCACCCTCTCGATAGAGCCAGCTAATAATTTTCTTTGTGCAATCCATCAAATTATGAGCGTCTATCAATTGTGGATACTGGCGCTTAATGAAATTCCATAGAACCCATTGATTTCCAATATTTCATACAATTCACAGCTGCCTCATCTGTTGGGTACAAATCAGGACTTTGATGGCCCCATTAGGATTCCCCTCTGCTATCAAGACCAGTCATTTCCACCTGAATTTCAAATGCCTGGGCCTTTTCATTTAGCATTTCTAAGGTAATACGTTAGCCAGAAATCAAACCCAGGCACTTGGACATGTGATGCACCATGAATAGAAATGTTCTAAACAGTTACATTGGGCATGCTTTATTCGTGTGGAGCCATTAATCTAGTACAACACAGAATTAGAATTCTGCCTAATTTATAAGTTTTTGTATAAAAAGTAATGTTTTTTTCAAGCACATAATATTCACCCTCAGTAAGGACATTCTGTGTGTTCTGTCTGTTTTCTGTCTCTCCTTTCCCCCGTTTCTCCCATGCTGCATGAAGAAAAGAAGAAAAAAAAAAGGCCGAACAAATTACATGCTAGTGCTATGGCAGCAGAGTCTCTGATTAGTTACACATGTTTAATCACAGTTGTAGGAAGCCACTTCCTTTTCCACATGTAACCATCAAAAGTCAAACAAGCAGACACAGGCCCCGAACATGGACTTAATTCACACCTGATCAAAACCATGTAAAAATGGCCGCCCTTGTCTGTTTATTTTTTGTGTTGGAGCACTCTGTGGGTTTATACTGTTCATTATGAGTAGGAAGTGTAAATCACCAGCATCCTGTCGATGCAGCGTACTTTATTTCACAGTACTGTGTGGAGCTCACCCTTAAGTCACACAGGAGAGTATACGCAGTAATACAAGAATTTGTCCAATTCTCAAACTGTCCTTTATGCTCTTTATAATGTATGGAATTTGGTTTGAAAGAAAAAGTAATTACTCAAGGTATATATCTAATTATCAGCTGTCAAAACGATGTATAAAAGTGTACGTTTTAATTCTATATTGTATTTCTCTCTCTCTCACACACACACACACACACACACACATACGACACATGCTAAAAATGATTTTATCCTAAAATATTTCATTGCACATACTAGACTAGTCCAGTTTTAACAAAACCAAATTAAAGTGTCTTAAAATCGCCCACACATTACACATCACACGTCCTCATAAAAGGCCACACTGTGGCCGGTGACTAATGCTCAGACTCATACAGTGGCTTTTGCTGATTTCAAAAGTTGAAATGCAGAGAACCAGGGTGAAACAGACATGAAGCATTTGAGCCAATTACAGTGAGTCATTAGTAAAAAGAAATTCAGCCCCCCCAACACCGCACCCCTCCCTTCAAAGGTCTCATGAGCTATCAGTGTCTGGTGTTTGTAACTTAATTATTATCAACAAAGAGGCCCTGGGCAGCCTTCATGTTCTCCACCTCGCTGGGGGCAGGGCTGACAGATCAAGACATTTCATTACTTAATCATGTGCACAGGCAAAAAGGAGGAAAGCAGAGGAAAAATGAAAAAAAAATGGAAATATTTATGATTTTTAATTTTAGATTTGTTGGCTAAATGTTGCCATTTCTTTTATTTAAAAGAAACAAAAAGATAGGTTAGCATTCATTAGTTATATTAATATAAGTATAACTGCTATTACTTAAAATAAAATAAAAAAAACATAAATGAGCAAAAGACAAAGGTGAAAAGTAAGTGAAAACAGCAGTGACACGTGACAGCAGGCTAGAAATCTCTTTAGCCCGGCAGCGGACAACAAGACTCATTTCCATAATTGAGGGTCGAAAGGTTAACACAAATGAGTAGGCATTGTGTTGAACTGATTAGTTATTAGAATGGTATTACTGTCAATCTCTTTTATTCATTCATGCAATTACAAGTGGCTGCCTTTGTCCGCCTTTGACCGGACAAACACACACACACACACACACACACACACACACAACATATCAACACATTTTTTTCTTTTTAATAAGATTGTGGTCTACACCAGTATAAACAGGTAGACACAAAATAATCTGTTATTTCTGTCACTACAGAAGTAAAATAAAATAAGTTAAAAATAATATGTAATATTTTTATGTAAATATAATTATATAAATTCACTAAATAGTTAATGACTTAAAAATTATTTCATATCATTGGATCTTGACATTTGTTGTTGTTGTTTTATTGTTTTTTTACTTTAAAATATTATTTAACATAAACATAAAATAAAGGCTCATTCTACATGTTTTATATGTTTTTTTTATATTAAAACAAAGATATAAATAAATTCAAGCATCACTAGTTAGTGTTAATGTAAATGTATTATACTATTGTGTGTGCGCACCGTGTGTGTATTGATTTTCCTTTAACATACAGAAAAGAGAAAGGAAAGCTTAAAAAAAACCCCATCAACCTATTTTTGCATTCTTTTTAAGAGTAATTTACTTGGACGCAAATATCACGCTGAACGCAGTCAATAGGGGGATTGTACACATCCAATCTGTGTGTCCACTATCTGCCTCAGCAATCTCTGGCATGCTAACTGAAACCGCTAATCTGACATATTATATCAGATGAGGTATTCATGCTTTCCAACTGATTCTGTGAAAGAATCCACAGAGCTGGGCATTGAGCAGAGGCATCGGGCAATTACAGATTTTCCCATCCTCGACAGTATTCAGGTTCAACATTAATGAGCAGACCCACAGACAATAGCTCGGCCACGTAGTTTAATCGTGTGAGGAATAAATTGTTTACATATATATATAATTTCTTTATTTTTTTTAAATTCTAATTTTGAAACCATTTTCTGAATCAGTGTGTGGAGTTAGACTGCTGGGACTCCATCCTTTTGAAAACTGCCCCACCTTTTGAATTGATTCTCCTCCGGCATGTGAGGATGTCTGTGGAGTGTTCCAGAGCGACAAGTTGGAAGAGAAGTGCAATAAAACAAGCCTGGCAGGTCACAGTAGTCCGTATTAAATTCTGGGCCAATCACTTTATTTTCTGTTGCATTAATATTTGACCATATATCATTTTTCATATCCAAAAAAAATAAACAATTATTAAACACATTTTCTAGCACAACCCCTTTTTTAAATCTCTTACGTTGAACACAATTTTATTTTTAAAAAATCACATAATTTTAAATTGTGATATTATTATACATTTGCTTTTGTTTGTGACCGTTAACTCAATATCACAATTAATGGCTCTAAGCTTCTTGAGAGCTGCAGATGCTTGTGCGTCCTCTGCCCTGCACTATATCTGAGTGTATGTGCGTGTATGTGTCATCCGCCTGTTCAGCCCCGGCTGCAGAATGGTACAGTCATATCTGCGCCAACAGAGAGGCCTTTGTCACTGCCTGCAGATGCGGAGCAGCCAAAACATTAACGATTTGTTTGTGTAAGCATTTGCAATACAGTATTCAATGACGACACTCTGTCCAGAGGACAGTGCCACTGGTGAAGACAGCTCTCTCGCTCTGTGGACTTAGCAGACGAGCTCAAGATGAGGCCTTTGTGGACACTCGTTTAAAACATAAGTAAAAGGATTGATTCCACCATTTACACCAGCTACCCACCTTCATATTGTTTGTCCTCTTTTGTCTAAAAATCATCTGTCGTAAGAAAACCCCCCACTTAAAAAAAAACAGCCTCATCTCCTCTCTTGGTGGCTCTGCAGCTTCCTCCTAAATCCCTCAAAGGTCTGCTGTTTTGTCTGAACTGGAATCGTCTCCTGTCTGAGCCTTCCTCTCCATCAGGATCTTACTTGTTCATGTGTGTGTGTTTTTTCCAAGACTGAGTAGTAATTAAGACACAGTCATATTTGAGTGTCTACTTGAAGACATCTTTGGCACAACTCTGTGGGTGGTCCGCAGGGCCCTGCACCCATTGGTGAGAGGGGATTTAACAAAAGCCAAACAAAGCCTGACTGCGGGGTGAGCAGACAACAAGCATGTTGTCACTGTCAGCCTGGATTTTCTCAACTTATTGTATATTTTCTGCATCTCGTGAATAAGACAGCTGACACAAAATGTGCTTTTCCTCTTTTGAAAGCTGAAAA